GTTGCGATCCCGTTACCGGTCAGTAAAAAAGACAAAAAGGAAGAAAAAAAAAAAAAAGAAAGAAAGAAAGAAAGAGAAGAACAGACTCTGTGAGTTTATAACCTACTCAGTATTGGAGAAAAATATATTAGAAATTTTCAGGGCTGTCTGAATTTTGCTCAATAGGAAGAAAGTAACATTTAAACAATACATGGTAACCAATATATAATTACATTTCTTTGGCTAATTTCACATGATTTTTAAAGCATCAATTAGAAGAAGGCCATGTGAAATAGTAACTATTTTATTATGAAGCAGATTACATAGAGCACTAACTTCCTAATTTTTATAACAAGTTTCGCTTTTTCCTTTCACTGATTTAAATTTCAAGTCCATATTCAGTTCATAACCAAAGGGAAAACATATCACTCCAAAAAGCTCCTGCCAGGAAAGTAAAATAATTTAATCAGGCCCCCTTGCTTTAGGCCCAGTTGGGGGTGGTGCTGTGCATTCTTTGTAAATAAGTTGTGTGTGGGTAGAGTTAGTGCACACGTGTGGTGCTGCCAACTTGGCTGGTGTCTAGTGCCTCGAGCATCCACCTGGCACGGCCATGCTCTCAAACCTACGGCTCCAAGGACCTTTTTTGCCAGTTAACTAGCAAATAGACTGGCGTATGAAGGGTTTACGACCCAGTCTGTGAACAGGTTTGAGGGGTCAGTGAGCTCCAGACCCAGTCCTAGCTTGACACTCTCCACATAATTTCATTTTGATAATGAATTGTATATTTGTTTTAACTTACCTCTTAAAATCTTGTTTGATCCTACACCTTCATAAATATTTAAGACATCTGTATAATATGTGTTAAAGGAATCGAAGCTCAGTTTAATAGAAAGTCCATTGTTCACACTAAATTAAAAACAAAAAACAGATTACAGCATTCTTAACAGTTGTCATAATTCTTAATTCATTCTGGAATTTGTATGTGTTTTCTTCTCTTGAGGTAAAAACCATTTAACATGAGATCTACCTTCATAACAAGTTTTTAAATGTACCGTACAGAATTGTGAGCTATGAGCACAAGTTGTACAGAAGATATTTAGTTTTTCAGCTTCTTTGACTGAAACTCTGTATCCATTGAACACCACTCCTCATTGCTTTCTCCCTCAGCCTCTGGCAACCAACATTCTACTTTCATTTCTATGAGTTTTACTACTTTCTAAGCATAATATAATGATATCATGCAGTGTTTATCGTTCTGTGACTGTTTTATTTCACTTGGCCTAATGTCTTCAATGTTCATCCAACGTTGTACCGTGCACAAGATTTCCTTCATTTTCTGGCTGAATAATAATATTCCATTGTATGTATATACCACATTATCTATTTATCTGTCAATAGACACTTAGGTTATTTCCATATCTTGCCTATTGGGAATAATGCTGAAATGAACACGGGAGTGCAGATATCTCTTTGAGATCCTGATCTTAATTTTTTGGATAAATTCTCAGAACTAGGATTGTTGGATCCTATGGTAGATCTATTTCTAGTTTTTTGAGGAAACTGCATACTGTTTTCCATGGTATCTGCACCATTTTACATTCCTACTATCAATACACAAGGGTTCTAATTTCTTGAAATCCTTGACAATACTTTTTACTTATTTTTTATTTATTTTTTAAAAATGGCCATCCTAACAGGCTCAAGCTGATATCTCACTGTGGTTTTGATTTACATTTTCCTCATGATTAGTTATGTTGAACATCTTTTCATATACTTGTTCGCCATTTGTATGTCTGCGGATGAATGTTTCCTCAAGTCCTTTTCCCGTTTTCATTGTTTATTTATTGAGTTGTAGGAGTTCCTTATATGTTTTGTATATTAACCCCTTATCAGATATATGGTTTGCAAATATTTTCACCCATTTATAGGCTGCCTTTTCACTGTGCTCATTGTTTTCTTTGCTGCACAAAAGCATTTTACTTTGATGTAGTCCCACTTGTCTATTTTTGCTTTTATTGCCTGTGCCTTTGGTGTCATATCTAAGAAATTATTGCTAATGCCAATGTTATAAAGATTTTCACCTATGTTTTTACTAGGAATCCTATAGTCTTACATTTAAGTCTTTAATTCATTTTTGTGTATGGTGTAAGATAAGGGTCCAATTTTATTCTTTTGCATATAGATTTCAGGTTCTCTCAACACTATGAGATAGGATAGAGCATCTACGGATGGACCCAGCAGAGAAAACTGAAAGGGCTAATAATAGGGAGATATCTAGTTTCCAAAGTTAAGCAGGAGCCTGGAGAACTGACTGAGAACTGACCTGGCCTGAAATGCTGGCCTTGGAGGATGCCGGCTGAACAATGCCTGCCTTGGTTTTTAGGTATTCCCCCAGTAGTCACCTGGCCAATCAGGCAATTGAGGACATTCATTACAAAGTAGTGCATTTTTAAAAGTCTAAAGGCCATTATCAGTAAATGCCCTTTTGTGGCAGGACTGTAGGTTTGGCAAGTTGGGGGCTGGAGTTCGGGACTAGAGTTTAGTCTTCAAGGACTGGGGCTGGTGATAGTGAAATGGAAGCTACTAGCAGGGCAGAATTCAAAGACATCTAAGCAGTAACCCATATTTTTGGACTTGTCCAGTGTTTGCTTCCAGGGAGATAAAGTTATAACAGTGGTGGGTTATTTTCACAAAATACTGATGTGGACTTCTGTCCTGGGTATCAGATTTGGCAGTTCTGGAGTGGGTTCTGGAATGTATATTTTGAAAAGCTTCAGGAATGATCGTGATGATCTCTTAGGTTTGAGGGCCACTGGAGTAAGATAGGTAGATTAAGGAGATGCCAAAGTCTACTCGCAGATGTGTTTAGTAACCACGGGAGATTGCAGGAGTAAGGGGATCGAGATAAGCGAGCTGCAGAACTTCCAGCCCAGACTGAGAGACAAAGAGCAAAGTTGATGGTGGCAGCTGTTTATTTAAATTCTGCCATCAGTAAGTCAGCTCAGGGATGGATGGAGGGAGCCTACTGGCAAGAGTGTTAGGGGATGCAGAGTCAAAGCTGAAGACAGAAGCAGAAGAAACGAAGCAGCCTTCAGCATGATTTCTGCTCTTTTAATTAAAGTTTTGGTGTCTCTAGGTAAGAATATGATGAGATCTTCTTCTGATGCTGTTTTCAAGCTATGAAGCTAAGGAATGCGAGAGGAGCTCCCCAGGAACCTTTGTGTTCAGGGGTCCTTTGCCTTCTCAGAATAGATCATTGAATGTTGAAGAGAGAAACAAGTGCATACTTGTTTTCTACTTTCTTCTGACTCAAAAAAGCCAACTAACTTGCAATAAAAACACAAGCATTTATAAAAGTATGATTAATTGGAGAATATATTTTATGTTTTTAATAATAATAGACATTTTGGTGATCTGACTTTTTTTTAACAGAATGGGTACTTTTCTAAATTTTATTTATACACTTTGTATTTTTTTGGATCAGTAGCTAATTTTTTTATAGCCCACTTTTATTGAACACTTAATATGTGGTTAAGCACTTGCATGCATTATCGTATTTAATAATGACTTTGACCACAGTAGTTAGAAATGGTGAACTTTATATATGCAGAAATTTTTGATTAAAGAGATTCAGTCATTTGCCTGAGATCATACATTTTGAATCCGAGGATGCTAGATTTAAACCCACACAGACTGTATCTAGTATCCACATTCTTAACCATTGTTCCTATACTAAATGTGGTCTTAATTCCAAGGCTGGGCTGGTCTAGCCCAAAATTTAAATATTTATTCACTATTTAATTGGTCTTCCAAGCTTGTAGAAAAAT